AAAACAGCCCCAAAGCATGATTGACCCTCCACCATGCTTCACAGTAGGCAAGGTGTTCTTTTCATCATAGGCCTTGTTCTTCTCCTCCAAACATAGCGTTGATCCATGGGCCCAAACAGTTCTAATTTTGTTTTATCAGTCCACAGAACACTATCCCACAACTTTTGTGGTTTGTCCACATGGCTTTTGGCATACTGCAGTCGACTCTTCTTATTCTTTGGAGACAGCAAGGGGGTACGCCTGGGAGTTCTGGCACGGAGGCCTTCATTACGCAGTGTGCGTCTTATTGTCTGGGCTGAAACTTCTGTACCCACATCTGACAAATCTTTTTCTCAGTTCCTCAGCAGTCACACGGGGACTTCTCTCCACTCTACGCTTCAGGGTAGCGCACAGCAGTCGAAGTCAGCATCTTCTTTCTTGCCACGACAGGTAGCGTTTCAACAGTGCCCTTTGCCTTGAATTTGCGAATGATGCTTCTAAGGTGTCTCTTGGTATGTTTAACATCTTTGCAATCTTCTAATAGCCATTGCCCTTCCTGTGAAGAGAAATCACCTCTTCTCTTGTCTTCCTGGACCATTCTCTTGCCTTCACCATTGTTTGTAACCACACCAGTAAATGTCTAGAAGGAGCTGAGTATCACAGTCATTTTAAAGCTGCCTAATTGGTGCTTATTATGCTTGATTGCTGCTCGGTGACATCCACAGGTGTTTTCAATACCTGATGGAAAGCACCTGTATGAACCTCTGTTCTTCAGAGTGGTAGTCTTTAAGGGGTTGAATAATTGTGGCAATGAAGAAACCACATAAGAACCATTTACTACTGTATTACATAAACAATTGATGTCATTTTAGTTGCATTTGGGTAGTTACAACGTCCTTGTAGGATTTGATTCTGAATACAATTCCAAATGTACACTATAGTCCCTAAACCCCTTTACAGCATTGGGGGTTGAATAATTTTGGTCACAACTGTAGTCCAATCATCCTGGGCTGGAATACCTGATCACAGGTGCCAGAAGTTGGTTGACTCCATGCAACACAGATGTACAGCAGTTCTCAGAAACAGTGGTTGTACAACTAAATATTAATTAAGCGATTCAAAGGAAAGCAAAATCTTCAAACATTTTTCAGTTTATATAGTGAATGTTTGAGTTTGTAAAGAAGAATACAAAACACTGCTTTTTTTTGAACAGTCTAATATTTACTTTTCTTCATTTTTTTTCAGAGGAACAACACAAATTTGATATATTTTTCTTCATGTTTTGATTTGGAATAGAATGTGTAGTGTTCCCAATGCATTTGTGTATATGGAAATAAAAGCTATTAGAAGGATTTTGAGCTTTATTCACTTTTTTCAGCACACTGCTATTATTTTGAACACAACTCTATATAATTTGTGCCTTCTTGGCATGAACTTGAGGAGCAAGACTGTAGATCTCAATGGCAAAGCTTTCTTATACTGAAGGTTTATATAGGTTTCGGTACCTGTGCAAACATTACAGTCTCGGTCAGAGACACATATATAACCAGGAATCCATATTGTACATCCACAACCCCCAATCACAGGGCAGGCTTTACCCTTGCTAGAGTAGTCCTCTACTCCCTTCACAGTTGGCAATTGCTTTACTGTCTTAACCCAGTTCCAATTCACTTCAGTGCCTAACCAGCATGAACATGTTATTATGTACAGGGGCGGACTGACCATTTGGAAACTCGAGCACTGCCCGAGGGCCCGGGGTCAGTAGGGGGCCCCATAAGATACCCCTGGTACCTTTTTCATAGGCTTTTTTGAGTTTGGGCAAGGACACAGGGGCCCCATGATCCCCTATTGCCCGGGGGCCCCATGAGTTGTCAGTCCGCCCCTGATTATGTATGTCATCATTTACAAGTTGCTTGGGTCAGTTTAGGCAGAAGTTAGAGTTTTGATCAGATGCAACATTGTTGTAGAAAGGGGAGGAGCTTGGCCTAAAGGAGGTAGAACTTTGTGTCACAGACCTTGGCAAATGTATACATGTTCTTGCAGCATTTCTAGTTTGCCAAGGAAATTCACTCTGCTCCACCATTCAAACTACAGTGGTGGAGTAGCTGACATGTAAGAAGCCTCCTATTTCATGTCATGCACATCTGTATGTTAAGTAGGAGGAAGTGCAGTGAGATTGCAGAATATGAGACCAACTTCTTACATGGTCTACTTCAAAATGTAATGTTCCACTGGATGCATTCATGCCCCATTTCTCTAATTTTGGATGCTCCTAGCAGTTGGCTGCTTCCTAAATGTCACACTTAGACCAATAAGAAGCAAAGGCCTTGATTGAGCTTATCGAAGTATGCACAGATTTTTATACCTGGTTTCTTGCAAGCTCTAATGTATTTCATTCCATCTGGAACATATACTACATGACCTGTTTTCTCTTTTTTTGACCTACAATGTATAAAGTTAAAATCTTCACCAGACAGTACAATAAATTGTTCGCAATAAACTTTCTCCAACATACCGCAAGACAAGCGTGAACAGACTCTATTGACTTCAAGGGGTTTTCTCATGTCCATGAATTTTGTCTACGCTACATGCAGCTGGGGGGATTAAACCTAACAAATATTGTTAGCAATGAATAATTTGTTTCCAATATAACTACTCCTGTTTCTAAAAACAAATTAACTACACACATGAACCTTTTGCACTGCAAAGTTTATATTCTGTATCTTTATTTTATATGGATATTTATATTCTCTTCAAAACTGAAGGTTTTATTTCACAAATGTACAGTGTATTCTTAACTATTCTTACCTGTTGTAAAAAGTGCTCAATAGCTCAAGCTGAAATTTCCACAGATGGGGTGAATGAACTATTGCAGTGACTCCAACCCTTTTCTCCTCCTTTCTCTCTGTGGCTGCTTCTGAGCTTTCTTTCAGAGATGGCATGCCAAACTCCTACCTGATCTCTCTTTAGAAAACCCATAGTTCTCCAGGAATCCTGTGTCATATATTAAAGGGGTAGTAAACTCTGCTAGACAAAGCAAAATAGGCCCACTGCAGTGTTGTGACATAATGTGCTAGTATACACTGCAGACTTATTTATCAATCAGACCCCTCCACTGCAGGCGCTTCCATCTTCACCTGATCTTCCTTCTGGGTCTCCGCTGTCCGGCTGTTTGAATGGCTGGGCTGCGATGACATCACTCCTGCTCATGTGCACAGAAGTCATGATCGCGGCGCAGCACTCAGAGTGCCCTGAATGTAGAGCACACTGTACATGCGAGGTGACGTACATAAGCAGCTGGAGCAAATGTGAATATTTCCTTATATAAACTAATATAAATGTGAATATCTCCTAATATTACATTACATTACATCGAGTTTATATAGGGTTTTCTCAGCGCTGTACAATAGAGGGGGGACGGACAATACATGAAACAGTACAGCAACAACAAACAGCACACCAGGGGTTAGAGGGCCCTACTCTTTCGAGCTTACAATCTAGGAGGGAGGGGGTAGTGGTACAGGAGGAAGTGGCTGTTGGGGATGGAGTGGTAGGAGGAATGAAGGAGAACGGCTGTTAGGTGAGGGTGGGGTAGGCTTCCCTGAAGATGTGGGTTTTCAGGGAGCGCCTGAAGGTGAGGAGGGAAGGTGACAGTCTAATGGATTGGGGTAGTGAGTTCCAGAGGAAGGGGGAGGACCTGGAGAAGTCTTGCAGTCGTGCATGGGAGGAGGAGACCAGGGAGCAAGATAGAAGGAGGTTCTGTGAGGAGCGAAGGGTACGGGTAGGGTGGTACTTGGGAATCAGGTTGGTGAGGTAGGTAGGTCAGAGTTAGTAGTTTGAATTTGATGCGTTGGGAAATCGGGAGCCAGTGGAGGGATAGGCAGAGGGGAGTGGCAGAGGTGGAGCGGTTGGTGAGGTGGATGAGTCTAGCCGATGAGTTCAGGATGGTCTGAAGCGGGGAGAGCCTGCGCTGGGGTAGGCTGGTGAGAAGGGAGTTGCAGTAGTCAAGGCGTGAGATAATCAGGGAGTGTACGAGTAGTTTAGTGGTGTCAGGGGTAAGGAAGGAGCGTATCTTGGCGATGTTGCGGAGGTGGAGCCTGCATGTGTTTGTAAGTGATTTGACATGAGGTTGGAAGGAAAGGTTTGAGTCCAGAGTGATGCCAAGGACTTTGGCTTGTGGGGCAAGATTGGTGGTGTTGTTGGTAGTGATGGATAGGATGGGGGGGGGGGGCGTGGGCAGGGGGAAAGACGAGTAACTCGGTTTTGGAGAGGTTAAGATTGAGGAAATGGAGCGACATCCAGTCTGAGATGTCGTTTAGGAGGTGAGTGATGCGGGCGGAGACTGTGGGGGTGAGGTGAGTGGGGTGGAGAGGTAAATTTGAGTGTCCTCAGCGTAGAGGTGATAGTTGAAGCCGTGGGATTGTATGAGTTTGCCAAGGGAGGAGGTGTAGATGGAGAAGAGAAGGGGTCCAAGGACAGAGCCTTGGGGGACCCCAACAGAGAGGGGGGGGAGTGAGAGGGGGAGTGAGGGGGTGGTGGCACTGTTGTAGGAAACGCTGAAGGAGCGTTTAAACTAACACTATTTATACTAAACTAATATAAATATACTAAACTAATATAAATGTGAATATCTACTAATATAAACTAATATAAATGTGAATATCTCCAGATTGTAAGCTCGAAAGAGCAGGGCCCTCAATCCCCTCATGTTTTGCATTGTATTGGTATTGTTCTGTCACATGTTCTGTCCCCCTTTGTAATGTACAGTACTGAGCGAACTATTGGCGCTTTATAAATACTGTATAATAATAATAATAATAATATCTCCTAATATAAACTAATATAAATGTGAATATTTTCTAATATAAACTTAAACTAAATTTAAACAAAACCTGGCCCCCAAAATATTTTTTTTAAATCAACAATTTGCATTTTCTACTGTATTTGATTGTTCAGTATGAACAATCATTATCACTCTTGCTGTCTTTTTTTAGGTGAAATACAAAGAACAATTTGATAAAGAAATGAAGGGTAAAAGGCCTTGCTATAACCCATTAGACAGCGCTGCCTTCAAGCAGGCCCAGGCTGCTACAGCACTGGCTAGCGACGTAAGTATCTTCAACCAGCACTTCCATGTTCTTCCATAATATGTAAAGTCCTCCTTTAAAGTTGAACTATGGGCAAAAAAAAAAGTATATGATGCAGTCTCTCACTAGAGTTATTGCAACCGTTTTTGTTTTTTTGTGTTCCCTGAAATATAGCTTAATTACCTGTTGATCCTGCCAGTAGATCCTTGACTTTCTACTTCTCTTAACAGGGTGACAACGCTATTAGTTCTACAATAATATTTCACAGCAGCATTGTCACCCTGTGGGCAGGGTAATTCTAGATCAGCCTTTTTACACTGGAGAAATCCTGGAAATAATTTTTAGGGAATCCCTGGTAAAAGTTATTATATGTGCAGCAGCACAAAGTACATGAAAGTGATTGCTAAGTTGCAAAAAGTTGTAAAGAAAACAGTAGAGAATGTGACATTTGTAGAGCATTTGACTCCCACTACAGATCATTTTTTAACACCCTCCTGTGCTATTCAACAAAATTATGTTCTGCAAAATAATTAAATAAATAATAAACACAGACAATGAAATAGTTTCCCCTACACTACTCATAGAGTAAAGCCTCCTTACATTGGAGGTCAGTAGAAAAACACAACCATTGGTGGTCAGTGGAGAAGTGTCTCCCTTAAATTGCAGATCAGTAGAAAAGTGCCCTCTGCATTGATGATCAATGTAGAAGTGACTAATGGAAGTGGAAAATTCTGCTCCTTGGGGTGTTGGTGGGAGATCAGTCTTCCCACTAGGAACCTGTGGTGGAACCCTGTTTAAAAAATATTGAAATTGAAGCCTAAATCCAGCTAACTCTTAATAAGCAGTTACAGTTTTCTTTTGGGAAAAAAAAAAAATAAACCAAATAAGTAAAGTTTGACTATTTTAAGCACCGCATGGCAGTGTTATATGGATTGCCCTAGTCCCTGTAACTGTCACTTTTGCTGGACAGCTTGGTCTGCCTGTAAATTTCGGAGAGAAATATAAACAAAGGTATGTGAAAAATATAGACATTAAAGTGTAACTAATGGAAGCTACACTCACCTTTCCTGCTGCGGTTCCTGTCCCCACTGGCCTCTTCATCTGTGTGCCATCTTCACTGGCTGTCGTGGGATTACATTACTCCTGCTCATACACAGGAGCTAGTCATGCTGGCACACAGGGATCAGGCCGGTGCTGTAAGCTGAGCTGCGCATGCACAGCTTAATTCACATGCCAAGGAATGCTGAGAGCAGACAGATATGTGGTCGAAGCTTGGCCTTACGCTCTATTTGCTGGGTACAGGTGCCTGCCAGTCCCATGATACACATATCTGCTCAGGATGTGACATTTGAAGGAGGCACCACATTGCAGTGTCCCGTTCCACCAGTCCAGCTAGGCTCCACTACCCATCTTCCAGTGACAGAGTGGATTCCATCAGGAAGCAGCACAGACCCCATGTGCGCACAGAGCTACCTTTTCCATTCCATACCTGCTAGGTCTTCATTACGTGGGTCTGGTCCCCATTGCTGGGGCACTAACCACTCGGGAGATAGGCCACGAATTGCTCCCCTAGCAATGGAATGTCACCACTTCATCCCTGGTGTACATCACAGCCCTGTTCTTCTGTACGCTATTACTGCCTTGCACCCTTTTAAGTAACTTTAGACCAGGCAAGACAAAGCATGAAATGTTTTACTTGAAAGTACAGCATGAAGAGAATCACAAGATAACAGTTCAACATAAAGTGCAGTCTTTTCCTAACATCCCTAATCCCTAACTACAGCCTTGTGTGCTGCCCCAGCATACCTGCTTAGGAAAGAGTCCATGGCTGACATCTTCTAGGAGGACTGCAAGTCCCAGCAATCCCACTACATGTGGAAGGCTCCAGGACACAGGTTTGTAGCAACTTTGCTGGAATCAGGAACAGAAGCACACTCCCACACCTCATTGGCTGTCTGTGTCTTTCCTTCCCATGCAGCAGGCTGTGGTTGTGGGACTACTACTCAGCAGCCCCAGGCATGTCAGCGGGCTCCTCAGGCAGACAATTTGCAGTGAGGACAGAAAGAAGAGAAGATAGCTGGAGGCAGAGAGGGACAGAGCTCTCTACTGGTTGCTGGAGGATCATGGTACATTTTCAGCTGTCAGCCTCTCTTCTCCCATGTGCTGGACAAGTCTGGGCAGAGCTCCCTCCTGATTTTATATGCACAGGGAAGGGGGGCAGAGGCCAGCAAAAGCCCTCCAAAAACAGAGACCCAAGAGATAAAGTTAGCCCCTTTCCTTCCCTGCTGGACAGCAGCTAACTAACACTTTCCAACCTGCTTACCAGTAGGTTTATCTTATTTCCGAAGAGAGATTGCATGTCTCTTCTGCAATAAAGAGCCTGTCTGCTTGCAATGAATAACTTTAGTTCTGCTTTAATTTAGCAAAATTGAACATATAATAACCAGATACAGTAATATAGATACAAATTATGTATTTAGATATATGCTGACATAAGATAATAGCTGGGTAGTTTTGGTCTTCAAAGTGCCTATAGTTTTCTCTCTAGTGTGTCTTTAATCCATCCACTAGTCAGTGCACGTTGGGTTTCTCTTTGCTTTATTACTTAAAATGGAGTTCCAGCTGAAAAAAAAAAAAAAGTCAGCAGCTACAAAAAAATTGTAACTGCTGACTTTCAAAATACAGACACTTACCTGTCCCTTGGTCCAGCGGTGTCCTCCCACTGCTGGTTTCACCGTCCATCTTCTCTCCCTGGTGCCAGTATCTTTAGTGTGGGCACCTGGCTGTGACAGCTTGCGACTTCACAGCCGGGTGCCAATTGCACATGATCGGGAAGCTCTGTGCTTTGTGAATGGCCCCGTAGTCTTCTGGGAGCTATCACGTGTCCCAGAAGACTACAGAGAGGGAGGACAACTTCCACTTCCGATCACCTAGGCAATCGTGGCGGAAGTGACAGCGGGTACCTGTCAGATTCGGGTACCCGTTTACCCCCCCCGGGGGTAAACGGGGGGGGGGGGGGGGGGGGGGGGGCGGGTGACAAAGCATTAAAGTGGAACTTCCCCTTTTGGGTGGAGCTCCGCTTTAACATGATTATAATATACTATACCATCAGGCACCGTCTCTACTCTCTGCAGTCTGCCAGTACAATTATTTGTCCACAATAAATTATCACACAGCTTCACTGAAAACGTTTGCATCTTGTGATAATCTGTCCATGTATGGTGGATTTTGAGTGGCAGGAAAATCCAGGCATGTTAACAAGTCAAAAGAATAAAAAAGAGTTTGAAGGCCCTGTATATAATGTGGCATAATGGTAAAAGCGGGTCAATTTGTGTCTGCTGGAGATCATTACTTAACATTATAGAAGCCGTATTCTAAAGAAAATGCCTTAATTTGATTTTTCAGCCTATTGGCCTCCCTAGGGGAGTGTGAAAGAAATAACAGTGTATGCCAACATAAAAAACGTTTATGTGTTTACAAGGTAAGGTTGTGTTAGTTTATGAATGCTTGTTAAATGGAAATGATAGGGTGCATTTAGTACTCAACCTTGGGAAACTGCTGGATGGAAAATGACTCATTGGCTGTTGTCAAATTTTTCCAAGCAAAGTTGAAATACAGTAAAAGAAAAAAAAAAAACATTATTCACAAACATTGGGGTGGATCTGATGTTTAAAGAGAACCAGTCACCTATGCCATGAGATAGCAATAAATGCATATGCACACCCACACCCACACAGGTTGAACTGGATGGACTGGTGTCTTTATTCAATCTTTCAAACTATGCAACTATGGGCATTTGTAGTAATCTGAATCTCCACACTTGCATTGCTATAATAGTGCAGCCTGATCTCCTAAAGCTGAGCTCCAGGTGAATAGCTAAATACATAGGTGAAATACATATATGGGAGCTGTTTTACTTAGGATTTGCATTTCTGCCTATCCAGTTCTGTCACACAGAACAGCCATGACTTGCTGGATAGAAGACCTGATTTTTTGTCTGCTGCAGTTACATAACACTTATAGGTATTGTCCTTCCCCCCAGCTTGTAACTGGAAGGTAAAAAAGAACCATTAGATGTATGCGTTATCGTTACATAGTTACATAGTTAGTCTGGCTGAAAAAAGACAAAAGTCCATCCAGTTCAACAAAAAAAAAAAAAAAGTTATAATCCTATACCCACAGATCCAGAGGAAGGCAAAAAAAACCAGCAAAGCATGATCCAATTTGCTCATGTAGGGAAAAAATTCCTTCCTGATCCCCCGAGAGGCAATCGGATATTCCCTGGATCAAATTTACCTATAAATGTTAGTATCCAGTTATATTCTGTGTATCCAAGAAAGAATCCAGGCCTTTTTTGAAGCAATCCACTGAGCTGGCCAGAACCAACTGTTGAGGGAGTCTATTCCACATTTTTACAGCTCTCACTGTGAAGAAACCTTTCTGTGTTTGGAGATTAAATCTCTTTTCCTCCAGACGTAAAGAGTGCCCCTTGTCCTCTGTGATGACCTCAGGGTGAGTAGCTCTACACCAAGTTCACTATATGAACCACTGATGTATTTATACATGGAGATCATATCCCCCCTTATGTATTTATACATGGAGATCATATCCCCCCTTATGTATTATACATGGAGATCATATCCCCCCTTATGTATTATACATGGTGATCATATCCCCCCTTATGTATTATACATGTTGATCATTATCCCCCCATATGTATTATACATGGAGATCATATCCCCCCCTTATGTATGTATACATGTTGATCATATCCCCCCTTATGTATTATACATGGAGATCATATCCCCCCCCTTATGTATTATACATGGAGATCATATCCCCCCCTTATGTATTATACATGGTGATCATATCCCCCCTTATGTATTATACATGTTGATCATTATCCCCCCTTATGTATTATACATGTTGATCATATCCCCCCTTATGTATTATACATGGAGATCATATCCCCCCTTATGTGTTATACATGGAGATCATATCCCCCCCTTATGTATTATACATGGAGATCATATCCCCCCCTTATGTATTATACATGGAGATCATATCCCCCCCTTATGTATTATACATGGAGATCATATCCCCCCCTTATGTATTATACATGGAGATCATATCCCCCCTTATGTATTATACATGTTGATCATCATATCCCCCTTATGTATTATACATGGTGATCATATCATATCCCCCTTATGTATTATACATTACATGTAGATCATATCCCCCCTTATGTATTATACATGGTGATCATATCCCCCCTTATGTATTATACATGTAGAGATCATATCCCCCCTTATGTATTATACATAGAGATCATATCCCCCCTTATGTATTATACATGGAGATCATATCCCCCCTTATGTATTATACATAGAGATCATCCCCCCTTATGTATTATACATAGAGATCATATCCCCCCTTATGTATTATACATGGTGATCATATCCCCCCTTATGTATTATACATGGAGATCATATCCCCCCCTTACATATCCCCCTTAATCTCCTCTTCTCAAGAGAGAATAAGTTCAGTTCCTCTAATCATTCCTCATAGCTGAGCTCCTCCATGCCTCTTATCAGTTTGGTTGCCCTTCTCTGTACTTTTCTCCAGTTCCCCAATGTTCTTTTTGTGAATTGGTGCCCAAAACTGAACTGCATATTCCGGATGAGGTGTTACTAATGATTTGTACCGGGGTAATATGATATCTCTCTCTCTGGAGTCTATACCTCTTTTAATAAAAGAGAGGATTTTGCTCATTCTATCACTTTGTTCTCTCCTCTTATCAACACATACCTTGTTAGCACTTGAACACTGCAGCACAACTAAAGGACTACTTGTGCTGCTTCTCCCTCTCCAGTTCTTAGCTCTGTTGTACAGGGATGGCAGGAAACTGACACCAAGTCAAATCTAGATCCATACACTGCTTGCATTTAAAAAATACTTTCAGTGAAGTTTTTTTTTTTTATTAAGAATAAATGTTTATGACATTTTCAGTAATACACAATAGACCTCACAAGACCTTTCACAGTGCAAGGCCTTTAAAAAGATATTACATGAAATAAGGGAGATAGCAAACCAAGGTGTACAATTGTGTTAAAACTTTGAAGAATGCAAATACCGGGCCAAGCACCTAGGTATAGGAAACTCCATACATCCATTGCATAACATCATTCAAGGTGATGGCATTGGTTTAAAAAAAACAAATCCCTTAGTGGTGCTACCTCCAATCTGTGTACCGACCATGCACTACGGGGAGGGTAGAAAACAAGGATTGTTAAAGAAAATAAGGATAGAAGGCACTTGCAGTGAAGTTTTAATGAATACATAGCTGCAATCATTTGGGTCTTCCTGCCAGTTGTTCAGCTTTATAGATTAGTTGACATTTTAATTTCACTTGTTTTCTCTCCCTGTCAGAGCAGAAGTGTCTGGCTGTAAGGTAGGCATATATCTCAAACTGGATCTAAATGTTGTTAAGCTAAAGGCAAAACCTTTGTTTTCTTTGACTAAAACTGGCCATACTTGGAATGAAAATTGCTGAAACAGACAAATGTATTATTATTATATGTACTTATATATCACCATCAATTTACACAACACTTTACATATATATATTGTACATTCACAACAGTCCCTAACCCTCAAGAAGTATACAATCTAATGTCCCTAACTCACATTCATAGAAACACATACTAAGGACAATTTAGACAGGATCCAATTAAACTACCAGCATGTCTTTGTACCGTGGGAGGAAACCCATGCGGGCACAGGGAGAACATGCAAACTCCAGGCAGGTGGTGCCATGGTTGGGAATCAAACCAATGACCCTAGTGCTACCAGGCATAAGTGCTAACCATTTAGTCGCTGTGCTGCCAATTTCAATAGATGTATGAGTAGGCTCATTGTACACAAGACTATCTATTAATCAACTTGTGTACAACCAGCCTGTTCTCTTGTACAGTGCCACTGGCTAGTCGGCAGTGATGATCTGTGTATTCTGACAGTGGGGAAATGGTGGTAGCTCAACAGAAGTTTTTTTCACTGCTATGTCTTTAACTGTCCTCAACACCAATGTCATAGGTAATAAAAGTGAGGGTAAAATTTGCCCCCAGAACAGAAATAGAGGGGAAATCTACCAATGGGGACATGTGCTACCAATGGGGACAACCTGTGACAGTTGTCTAAAAGGTAATTTCACTTATGATGGAAAGCTATCCTCACTTTGTTGAATGCACAGGACAGTAGGTAAAGGAAAATCCCCTAATTAGACACAGATGACAAAGAAAAAAAAATGGAATAAAATGTATTTGGGTACAGTGTTGCATGACAGAATAATTGTTAGTCAAATTATCATAGCAATAAAAACTGAGAAATTGGCTAGGCAACAAGGATGTGTAAAATGCTTGCCTTGAGGTGGTTAAAGAAGACTCCAGAATGATTCTTGGAACCTGCCACGATCTTCCCTTGATAAATGGATGTAGAACATACTGCAGTTAGGCTGGGTTGGGTAATACGTTTTAAAAAATAAGCAAAATACACTTCTGTGCCTACTGAGTGATATATAAAAAATGACTGCTTCTGTGAATGCTGCTGCTATCATCAGTTGTGTTCCCACAATGCAATTGAAATAAAATAAAATAAAATAAAATGTGATGTAGCGCTGCTTGAAGAATATTAACCTCTTGCCGTCCGCCTGCTGTTTTATAAACGGCAGGGCGGTGGCAGTCCAAGGTCGGGTTGCCGTTCCTAAACGGCACCCGCCTTTTCTAGCTGTGCGCGCTCCCTCCGCGATCCGGTGTCCGCTGTGTCCTCCGGACACAGTGAAACACCGATCGTCGGACGGGACCTCTGTGCGAGGTCCCGGTCATGTGATCACTGATTGGCGAATCAGTGATCACATGCAAAGTAGTAAGCAAGATGTCACTTGTGACATCATTGCTTACTACGTGTGAAATCTGTGAATGATCACAGAGGTCACATGGTACAAGGCTATTCACAACAGCCTTGTACCATGTGACAAGCTGTGACCAATCACAGCTCTCTCAGTATTTCTCAATGACTGCAAGAATGCAGACAGAGAGAAAGCGAAATGATTGCTTTTACATTCTATAAGGGTGTAAAAGCAATCAGTGTAAAAAAAAAAAAAAAAAAAAATCTTCATCACCCCCCACAAGTAGTACAGTGTCACCATGGTGACACTGTACTGCTAGGGTGACAGTATGTAAAAATAAAAAATAAAAATAAAAAATAATATAAAAAAAAATAAAATAAAAATGTAAAAAAAAATGTTTAAAAATTATAATGTTTGGTTATAAACTAATTTGGATTTTTTTTTTTTTTTACTAAAAAAATAACGGAATAAATTTTGGCCAAGATTTAGGATGAAATATTATTTATTTGCAACATTTTATAAAAAAAAACTTTTTTTCAAAATTTTTGGACTTTTTCATTTACATAGTAAAAAAAATAAAAATCCCAGCGGTGAATAAATACCACCAAAATAAAGCTTTATCTGTCTAAAAAAAAATGGTAAAAAAATTCATATGGGTACAGTATTGCATGACCGCGCAATTGTCATTCAAAGTGTGATAGCGCTGAAAGCTGAAAATTGCCCTGGACAGGAAGGGGGTAAAAGTGTCCGGACAGGAAGTGGTTAAATAAACATCAATCCATCATAGTTGAGCAAACAAAGTGAATACAAAGTGCTCATAATGTCTAAATAAATTATAATAAATTAATATAAATATCATCCATTACTACACAATCAAGGTTAACTTATATCAAAGTGCTCCAAAAAATGTTTGTAAAGTTCATATGATTCCAAATGTAATGTAATCCAACACTATATAGTTAGAATCCGTGCTTTATGTGAATTCCATGCATTAATTGGAGCCACTTCTGTGCTCTTAGAACGTTCATCTCCAACGCATGTAAAACTGCGTGTTTAAATGAGACATCTCCACAGTTGATCACGATCTCCTTTAGCCAATATGATGGATTGAGGTTTATTTAATATTCCACAAGCAGCGCTACATCACATTTTATTTGATTTTATTTCAATACTTTTTAAAAATTACATTTGTCTTAATGAAACCTATTGGAAATATGCAAGTTTGGCTACCAGTCTCTTTTAATCCTCTGAACAGTAGAGCTCAGACTGGGAGAGAGAGAGGGGCAGCACTAGGGACCATTTAGGTGATAGGAGCAGATGTATGGGCACATCTGCTACTGCTTCTTCATTGTCTAATCTCAGGATGGGGGCAGGGAAGTGACCAGTGTGTATAACTCTAACTGCCATAGAGAAAACTCAGGTCACCAACTTCGCTGTGCTCTAAGGATTGGCTGAACAGGGATTAAAGTCCTTATGGCAGGTAAAACAACTACAGAAATATTTCAGATATGTATGTAGAAGTTTGCTGGGAATTATGCTTTTAGGAGACTCACATTAGGGGCTTTTAACTACTTGTTTTATATTTTTCAGGTCAAATATAGGAAGGACAAGCAGAGTATACATGATCCTTCAGTAGACCTTCCAAACCTGCTTCATTTGGAACATGCCCTGAAGACCAGCAAGATGCAGAGCAATGTAAATGCATGGGAGGAAAACTGTGTGATTTTCTTTGGGTTTAAAAAAGTGCTTTCAAAATTTGTGCGTATGTAACTTTAAAAGGCCCATTCACACCAATCCGGTTCGCTGCGGTGTAGTAAATGTTCAGTGCATTAGGGCAAGCCATTATTTGAATAGGCTGCCTACCGTAACAGATCAAAAATTGTTCATGAAGCAATTCAGCATTGCAGCACACATAGCACACATTACTAGGTAAAAATAGAAAGAGAAGAAGACATTTATGAAGTCCAGCCTGGGTAACAACCATGGCATCCTCCATATAAACAGTGGAAGAGTGAGTATAGCCACCCTAGGACAAGTAGAAAGTTATCTGTAGGATAATCAAAGGAAAAAAAGGAGGGGACTTGAAAAAAAGAAAACTAATGCAGTCACAACATCTATGTGTAGCACTTCCCCCTTAGGAGTTGCTAGGAGATTTAGGTCTCCCTATAGTTCTGCACAGCCAGGCATCACGCATCTTCAGTCCTTGAGCTTTGGTTTTTGTTGTTTTATTGAGGGGATTTGAACTGGGATAGAGTTAGGGATGTACAAGATGCCCGAGGAAACTGATGAACTGAGGACAACTTCCTGGTCCTTTGCACTTTGCCTGCCTGCCAGCTTCCAGAGTTCAGTTCTAATAAAGGCTCTCAGGGGATTGACATTCAGCAGAATGCACCAGTCAGCATAACTGCTTAAATGATGTCAGAGTCAAAAGTTTCTTGTCTTGACAAGAATCGTGAATTCAGTGCTTTCTTTGTGAGATCCCCATTTCTTCATCCATGCAAATGGGTTTTGCCTTTTGAAATAGCATTTCCTTATATCATGCAGATAAAGTTTAAAAATCAAATTCTATCTAGCTTTTAAACATTTTCATCTAATGTTTATTATTTCGTATAGAAAACCTACAAGAAACAGTTTGAAGAAAACAAGGGGAACTACCATTTTGCTTTAGGAACAGCAGAGCAAATTCATCATAAAGAAAGTGCTGTGCTCCAGAGCCAGGTAATAGCAATAATGATAATAATAATCATTAGTACAGCTGCACGTTTTCCTGAAATACATTAGCATTTAAACTGTCACTTTCATTTCCTCCCCAGACTCTAACCAATTTTTAAACTGGAGCAGGTTCCTTTTTTTGTCAGGGATCCACTGCGCAGTCCTACACCTAGGCGAGGATAGCCATTCAGACCTCTGCCTGCAGCCTTCTGAGACTCATAACAGAAGGTTGCATGACCACAGTGCCCTACAGTCTCACACTTGTGCAGTGGGGAGCCATTGTGAAACATCAGGAAGTCATAGGCAGCTCCCATATGCAAGATGGCGCCACTGGGAATCCAAAGCTTGGTGAAAAACCAGCTCTAAAGAGGACAACGCTGGACTCTATGGACTGGTAAGTACCTGTCTCTTAAGGCCTCCTTCACACGGCCGTACACACGTGAGGGCTGTGTTTTGCCTGCACAGGATGCAGAGGTGTCCTGTACATCCGCTTGCAGGCAATCCCAGTCATGTCAATTGGGATGCAATGGCTTCACGGATACAATTGCTACATCCCAATGGACATGAATGGGACTATCTGCACACGGATGCATGGAACACCTGAACAACCTATGATGGGAAAATTAGGCCCTCTCACAGGTTTATGCTTAAGTATGCACAAGAATGAACAAAGCCTAAAAGTAATTAGCTACAATATATGTAGCTACTGACTTAGAATTTTTAGGAACACAAGTGAAGCTGCTTTTTAAGTGATCAATTAATTTCACAAAACTCAAGGCCTTGTTCACATGAATGCATGGACCCCTACATCTCTGCAGAGGGCCAAGGTTATGTAACTTAGGAGTCTTAGGTGTTCTGTGCAGACATGTGTGGTCAGGCTGTAACAGTTAATGACAGGCTGTATGGATCTTCCTGCACGTCTATGCGCCCGTGTGAATGAGACCTACAAATACCTCTGAACCAGGAAAAACATCATCTCCAGTGATGCAAAAGAAACTTTCTTACTCATGCCGTTCATAAACTGTGCTACCCAATCAGCATGATATAGTGTAGGAGGTGGGCACAAACTTTTTGGAGAGTCAGACACAGAACTTTAGACTACCTAACTGCCCATAGCAAGGAATGTCTATGAAACTAATAGCTAGGTATAGATTTCAGCATTTAAGGGGTTAATTAAGACCCTTTTTTACATTTACACTATTTCTGTTGAGCTGGGTTGCAGTGCGTTGCATAAAATTGCAGACTTGCATTTTCATGCAGCGCAACTACCCTCCCCCCCCATGTCACCTCACTGTAGAGCACTGCAGTCTTCTGCAATGCAAAGACTTGAATAAAGTGCCATTTGTGACACTTCAATAAAGTAAAAAAGAAAATGGTGTCTCGTAACTACACAAAGCATGGCCCCTCACTGTTCCGACACAACGGACACCAGCTCACACTGTTATCCTTTAAGAGTTTTTCCACACCAGCTGAAAGCTATAAGTTCAACTTTTGCCAAAAAATAATAAATGCACATTTTTTTGCAGGTAAAAGAATGTGCATTTATTATCTTTTGTTTCTGGAGACTCTAAAGCATTGCATTACTAAAGCATTGCATCACTAATCAGCAGATCGCTGGTGCCATGCAGGTCTCCTGCAGACTGTCAGTGTATCTGTGTGCTCGGACACCTCATGCAGGCAAGCAGATAAACTGACAGGAAGACTCAATGAACTACCATGGCACTCCACAGCGCCATGTTCATTCATTGAGAACTGCAAGCCGACAGCCGGAAAGTCTGTCAGAACTTTTAGTGTTCTCTTTCACAGAATACTGTGAATGAGTGACCTGGCTGGGTTGGGAGAAGTGACAGCAAGCGGGGGTGGAGGTGGGCTGGTTGGGGAGAAGTTCCCCTGCTAGCTGTCACAATGGGGATCGAGGGGAAGCAGGGAGCCGGGCCATTCGTAGCTTGTTACATGTTACACCCTGAATATGGGTGTAACATGTAACATGTTAGGAAAGGTGAACTTATCCTTTAAAAACAACATTTTATTGCAGGATACCAGACCTCTAAAACACAGAAAATACATTTTGCTTACAAGTAGCACAAATGCGGTTTTCATTTCTTAATTCTTCCAGCACTGTTATATGTTTTTGATATTCCTAGGTAAAATATAAGGAAAAGTATGAAAAATCAAAGGGTAAATCCATGCTGGAGTTTGTTGACACCCCATCGTATTACGTCTCCAAGGAGGCTCAGAAAATTCAAAGTGAGGTTGGTATCTGGCGCTAACTTTGTTGTACAGTATATGGGATACCAATATGAAAAATGGTGCAATATACAGTAACCTATAATAAAAATCTGTGGTAGTGAAATTATGTACTTTTACAAGAAAATGAAAATATTTTACTTTGTGAATAAAATTCCACTTTGAATACATTTTACAGTTTTGGATGGAGTAGGTATTTTTTGTTCGTCTACCGAGATTTGTTATACCTCATTGGCAACTATATACTACAGTATAAACTGTATGTGGCTGACATCCAAGAGTGACCTGGGGTTCATTACTCCATGAATATTGCTGCAATTGAATCTAATTATAAGCTGCTAATGCATTGGTATATGGTTCCCCAACGCCTAGCCAGATCTAAAGCTTCCATATCTGACAAATGCTTTAGGGGCTGCCAAGCAAAAGGAAGCCTCATACACATTTGGTGGGATTGTCCCAAAATTAAACAATTTTGGACAGATATTTATAGAATAATACATGCTTTAATAAGTAAAAAATTATATGAAAAAATCCAAAAGAAGCATTGCAGCCAAACAGACTCTGGCGAAGGCTTGGTGGTCCTCTATACCGACTTCTACCCAAGTAAAAATAAGATGATGTGGTGTATGTCCAATGAAAAATTTGTTGACATCCTTCATGATAAATCACATAAATTTGAGAAAAACTATTCTCCTTGGATTGAACCTTATCTTTGAAAAGACTTTGATAGGTCCTTGTTGGGTATTTAAAAAAAAGATTGCTTATATTTGGGTCCACATGATCATTCCTCTTGCATATTTACCTCCTCGGATCCATTTATATTCTTGCTCTTTCATTATTTTCTATTCTTCTCTTTCCTTTTCCATCTCTCTGATTTATCTCACGTCAATATTTATACATTTATCTTTGCTAAAAGAGAGTTACAATATGTACAAATCTAAGATTTATATTCACTTTTAAAATCTTATTACCATTTATACTGTGCATTGACTTACGATTGATAACATGATAAACATATTATCTATATTCATAACTACTATTGTATAAATGACTCTATATAGACATCTTTTTTCCCATATTATTGTAGAATATTTTAATAAAAATGTATTGAACTCTAGAATAAAAATTATGTACATTTTGTATATCAATAATATATTTATTGATTCAACTAATTATCAAGAAACCTGACAATCTGGCTGTTACTGTTTAGAAATGGAGTATGGTCTGTCTGAGACATTCATGGTGGAGTTACATCTCTTTGTTGGGGTCCCTGTGACCTTTATAGGCCTTTCTTAGTCCAAAAAAAAAAATCTGTTTTTTTGAGTTCTACATAGAAAGTTACATTTTGCTGCACGATATTATTCAATTTAAAGTATTTGTAAACCCTCGCTATGTAAAACAAACCATTTAGTTGAAAATAGAAATGAAAGGCAAAACATTTGTGTATACATATAAAAACATTATAAATACCTTTTCTCCCTTTTTTATAAGATATCACATCTGTTCTTAGCTTCATAAGAGCTGGGGGAGGAGAAACAGCAGAACACTGATCTTCCCAGTGAATGGCTGTGCAGCGAGGGTGTGCCAACACAAGTCTGATCATTAGAGGAGAACACGCTGAGTTTTTGAGCACAGCTAGAGAAACTGACCATTCTGTGCTCTCCTGCCTAGTGTGGTCAATTTTAATAGAAAAGCAGAAGGACTGGCAGGAACACCAGGGATTTCACACAAAGGAAGCAATACAAAGAGAACAGGATACTTTTTCATACAGTACATGGTACAGCAGGCACATATCAGGAATGTGAATTGTTGGGTTTACATATTCTTTAACTGTGTTTTATTTATTGAACAGAAATTATATCGGAAAGATTTTGAGGAAGCTATGAAAGGGAAAGCATCAGTGGACCTGGACCTCACACCCAGCTTTCTGCATGCAAAACATGCTACCAGCGTGCTCAGTGAGGTATGACTTGCATGGCATTGTAGTGTTATCTTCCCATGTATGTTCATGATGACTGTTTAATAAGCTTTCTATCTTTTTTTTTTTTATTAGAAGAAATACAAGAAAGATCTAGAAGAAGGCATCAAAGGGAGGGGGCTGACTGTTCTGGAAGACACCCCCGATTTGATAAGGGTGAAAAATGCAGCACAGATACTAAATGAGGTACACTACTAAAGTAATTATAATTGGGGAAGAACTTAGTTATACCATTTATAACCACCTCTACATGGTGGTCCTGCGTTACAGACCAGGAGTTCAGCAACCACAAGGAAACAATCTGCAGGGCAGTTGTATGTTCTCATTTGTTTTGTCTGGGTTTCCTCCTGGTTCTCCAATTTCTCCCCACAATGTAAGGCCCCTTTCATGCAAGCAGACAGATCAGGTCCGCCCAGGGGCGGACTGACCATTTGGAAACTCGGGCACTGCCTGAGGGCCCGGGGTCAGTAGGGGGCCCCATGAGATGCTCCTAGTACCTTTTTCATCGGCTTTTTTGAGTTTGGGCAAGGACACAGGGGCCCCATGATCCCCTATTGCCCGGGGGAGCCCATGAGTTGTCAGTTCGCCCCTGGGTCTGCCTGTCCGTTTTTTAGGTGGACCTGATCAGGCCCTCTATTGTCCTCTATGGAGTGGCTGTTGTAAACAGACATGTGTCCTTCACACCCTCCTACATCCGATCCAATTTGATCTGCTAAAAACAGTCTATTGGATAGGATGGCAGTTGGGTGTAAACGGTTGTCTTTCAAGATCACCATTTATTTTTTCACTATTCTATCATATATAACAAAACACTTCAACTGTTTATTCAAACAAAGGGGAACAAGAGAAGTGTATTGCTAATATTTACATACACTTTAAATACATACTATACTAATTACATACGTAGGTCTTTTGGCATTATACAACCTTCCTCATTCTCCAGTTGGTGTAGCTTGTCTTGCAGTTATTGTTTGACTTGTTCCCCAATGTATCAGATGGAAATTTCTTTTAAACCTAAAAAAAAAAATGCTTTTCTCATTGAGGTAGTTCAGCCATCTTCTCTGTTGTCTGTTGATATGTTGAGTGCTGTTGGCTCACAGGGGTTTTAGCCAATAGGGTAGGAGTTCTCCAATCCCAATCCCCCATGAGTTCAGCTAATGCTGTTATGTTATGCTGTGTGTTCCCCTTCTGTCCAGAGGATCAGATCAGATGGCAGTTGGGTGAACATAGAGGAGAGCGGGCTGTATCCGTCTATCCTCTTCATAAGCGGAGTGGACCCAGAACTGTCAACTGCCTGCTCAGTGGGGATCAGCGGACAGATCCCCCACTGAGCAAGGGGATTGCAGGCAAAGTCCTAAAAAAAACCCAAAGTAATGTGTTTTGTTTTCTTCTCTGAAGAAAGAGTATCGTAAGGATCTGGAAAATGACATCAAGGGAAAAGGCATGGAGTTGAATGCAGACATTCTTGATATGATACGAGCTAAGAGGGCATCTGAAATTGTTAGCCAGGTAAGAAACAAACCAAAATGACAAAACAAACTTACTGCTTCTTTTTTTGGATATCTAAATTCAACAAAAATGAAATATATTGAGGTTTGCCAGACCTTAGATGTGGTGGCTGCATTAGTTTTTCATTTTTGACACCGTTGACATCCTTACATAACTTGATATATCATTGGTACAATGTTATTCTAATTAAGTCACATACACTGTATCATGAGAAACCTCTACCACCCACGTCTTATGTCAGACTAGGGATAACTTGCACCAGTGCTATCTGGTACTGAAAAGTGTAGGGAGTGAGATAAGCAGCCATCGACACTAGATAGGGGTGACCCCATCAAGGAATTCAGTGCTTTACACCCCTAAAGTATCCTTTTTTTGTATTCCTTTTGGTGCTTTAAACTTTTTCTAAACTTCTGAAATGAAAAATGAACAGACATATCCCATATATTGTGTACTTGCTTGTATGTAAAGCACCTAATTTGATTTCTGTCTCCTATCTCATTCCTCTGCTATCTGCATGCGTAACTTCTGACAGTCAATGCTGACCCCAGACAATCCTGGGGGAGACAGCCCTGCCCACCTCCAGCACACAGCAGGTGATTGACAGCTTCAGTTGTGCAATTGTCCCTATGAGACTGTGCAGAGGAGGGTGTGTCTTTCCTTCCAATCAGTCTCAGATTACACTCAGCTCTTTGCTCTGTGCTGTGCAGCGTGCGACATCAGATCCCCACCCCCCGCCTTCTGGAGCTGCGAAATGTTGTATAAAATATTTGCTTTAGGAGGCTGTAGAGGAGAGAAGCTCAGATAAACAGGTACAACTTATGTAGGAGGATTTGTTTCATCCCTGTGTATCTGAGGTCAGTTACTTCAATGAACCAAGAACTAAAATTGCTTTTTTTTTTGTGACAGTGGCATAAATATTTGAATGCACATTCCTAAAGAAATAATAGTTCTTGTTGCTCATAGCAGAAACGTTCACATTATCATATTGCACAAATGATATTGATAATCTGAGTGGTGGCTATATGCACTTTTTTCCCGTAGACACTTTTACACAGAAGATCCAGTAATTCAGAAAAGCAACACATATTCAGTAGAAAAGAGGTGTAGCGTGTTAGAGGTGACATGATTTAGGACACCAAATGTGACGGTAGGCTCCAGCGATGTGAACTCTGCCCATTTTCCTAGGAGGTTTTGAATCATCGAAAAACAAAACATCAGCGTCTCGGTGTCCTTGTATGAACTGCGTACTAGTTCACATTTTTGTGCTTCTTCTTGGACCTGAAATACATGAGTCTTGTAGGAGGTTAGAGAGATCATTGTAATAATTGTTCTAATTATTTCCTCTTCATACTACTCAGATAAAGGCCATGTGTAATTACTGTAATCATACTAATGGGTACAAATGAGGCTTTTCCTATGAGGAAATTACTCTGTCCTCAGCTTGGATCTATCGCTGAGAGCAACAATGTGTTCCATCTGATGCTGAGAATACGTTCTGTACCATTACACTGGACTTCATTACATGTAATGCATCAATGTTCCTCGCCCTAAAAACACAAGCCTCTTATACATTCAACCTAATGAAGCCATAAACACTGCATTCCTCCTTAATAGTTTATTAGCCAATCAGCTGTAGCTTAAGGATGTCAAGGATTTCTAGCAGACATATAATATTTTTTACAGTACAGGCTGCACTTTGCACACCAAAAGTAAAAAAAAATCACCAACCATTATCTACCATATATAATATATGAAGGTCGGATAGGCTTAGGTTTTAAATATAAACAAACATGTGCAGCGCTAAAAATATTAAAATGCAGTAAAAAGGTACAAGTAAATATATATCATAAATCATATGAGGATAACATCATACAAATGTTCATAAAGTGACTTTAAGTGCTCGTAAAAATTCTGCGTTTTCCTTAACATGGTGCTTGTGCAGTCAGGTATAGAAGAAATGCGCACTCACCGGACAACATAATAAAATGTGCGTTTTGTATAATAAATCCTGATGTCATCAAAAGGTCATCTGAGATAAGCCAGGAATAGGGTTGAATCCCTCTCAGGGTGTATGGATTCTAGGACTTTAAATGATGATCAGGAAGACACCAGAGTTCCCCTTAAGGGATGGATGGGTGCAGCTCACAGGGTATACAGGAGGCCCCCTCTCTGGAGACTGGATACTGGGTATCTGAAAATCAATGCTCCCCAGGGCAGTTAAAGCAGAGATATACCCATAGTGTAGTACTTTGAATAATTTTAATTGAATGTATTAAAAGGTAAAAGCATCCAGGTATAAGCATCCAGGTATAGTGCAGTGTAATAAATAACTGTGCAGAGACATCTAACAGGACTAACTGTTCACACTCAAAGATGGCCGCCGGAGCTCCAAGTTGCTCCGGCAGCGTGATGTCACGGCGTTATTGGCTCCCTCTTACGCATTTTGTGCACCCGCATGTCGTCTGAGGGGAACACCAATCTTTGGATGACGTGCGGGTGCCATCTTTGAGTGTGGACGGGGTTGGTCCCAAGAGGAAGAGAATCGGGGCTGTTCTGTGCAAAACCACTGCATAGAGAAGGTAAGTATAACATGTTTATTGTTAAAAAAAATACACAAACATTTAATATCAAACCCAACACACTTCATATTCCTGATATATACCATGCACTTGTATGAAAAAGTATTCTTTTCTCTTTGTATTGCTTCCTTTGTGTGAAATCCCTGGTGTTCCTGCCAGTCCTTCTTTCTTATTTTAAACTGACTACACTAGGCATGAGAGCACAGCGTGGTCAGTTCTCTAGCTGTGCTGGGAACTCAGCCTGCTCTATTGCAATGATCAGACTTGTCCTGACATCTCCCCCTATCCACAGCCCTTCACAGTGAAGTTCATTGTGCTGCTGTTTCTCCTCCCCCAGCTCTCTGTTCTCAGCTGCATAAGGTGCTTAGGGAATATGTGATCACTTATACAATAGGAAAAAATACTTCCTTATTCCTCCCTCATCTACACTGCACAACTAGTTCCTCAAAACCGCTTCCTTTTGCTGCCTATCCGGTCACTGTTCTCCAATATAATCACATACAATGCAAGATGAGTGGTAGAGGAGAGTGTTCATTGCTGGGGAGCAAGGAATAAGTTAAGTATGTGTGGAGAAGAGCAACTTGACAGGGTAATGTGGTCTCCATCCTGGAATCTAGCTTTAAAGTCATGCATGGGCAGGGGTGGACTGATAACTCATGGGGCCCCCGGGCAATAGGGGTTCATGGGGCCCATGTGTCCTTGCCCAAACTAAAAAAAGCCTATAAAAAAGGTACCAGGGGCATCTCATGGGGCCCCCTATTGACCCCGGGCCCTCGGGCAGTGCACGAGTTTCCAAATGGTAAGTCCGCCCCTGTG